CAGTGCTCCAGGTCCTTGGACACCTAGCCACAGCCCCGAGATCCCCAAGTCTGGACTAGTAGCTTCTTGCTCCTAGTAGCGATGCCCTTGTTCACAGTAGCTTCTTGCCACTAGTAGTAATGCCAGGAGCTACTAGTAGCTTCTTCCTCCTAGTACCCCCTTTCATCTGCTTCCAACAAATGTATGTTTCGCAAACTTGTCTCGATGCATTTGCGAGACTGCGCGATCGACAGACACTCAGAGGCAGACTGCGGAGGTGCACTCGTCAAGAACAGCAAACTTCGGCCGGTGGTAGAGAACCTCAGCAAAAGTGGCTAGTCACACTATCAAAGTCATGTGTATCACGCAGATCAGAGCAGGATTGGACTTAGCTGCTGTCAATATTCAAAGGTGCTAAGCCATCTGCACGCGCAATCCCCAGACGTTGTTGCTCGCTCAGAGACAACCTGAAGGTGCATTCCTAGAAAAGAGCTCATTTTGGATGACAAAGCAGTTCATGTTCGCTCTTTCACCGCACTACCCTGAAAATGAACGAGAAACAAAAAGGTTTACCCCCTCTTGCATAACGTACAAGAATGCTCGCAGCCAAACTAAAGTGCTTGAGACCAGATCACTCAGCAGTGTCAGCATCAAGGTATTGGAAAGAAATTCAACTCGGGCCTTGAACCCCAATCAGCTTCTTCCTGCAAAGTTCCTTTGCTTTCCTGAAGAATATGACCACTTTCATAGAGAGGTTCAATCTAAGAGTTTGCAATGGATGATCTACAGTGAGGCTTTAGCAACATCAAGGATCAAGGTGATCCGTTCCTATTTGAGGAGGCGTGGCAAGGCTCACACATCGCTGAGGCCAGTTCAGCTCTATCCACAAAGTGAGCCATGCCGACATACGCCAACCACTGCCTGTGGGGGGTAGTCAACAGGACTACAAATACCATCAAATACCCATCTGGTTGACACGCCTCAAGTCCTGGGCAGAAAGGCCGCCCGGCACTGGAGTCGGATATGTGAGCTGGTCCTTGGCCGGCAGCAGAGGACAACTGTTCGGACATTACTTCGCCAAGAAAATGAAGCCATGGCACTGACAAAGTTCCCACAATGTTCATAGGTCTTTGCGACAAGTAGTAGACATCTCCTTGCAGAATCGGCAGTACATCGGCACCCACGAAAAGCCACGCTAGGGAACTTGCTGTGAAGCCCACTTGAGCATGCATTTGGACACGTGATAGTCCCCTTTGCCTTCAACGGATTAATTGCTGCTTTGAGATCGAGAGATTCCCAAAATCAACCAAGCAAAGCTTTGTCAAGCTTCTATCACTCTGCTTGCCCTGACCAGGACTGTCACCTCTTCAACTGAGGATGAGACCACAGGCCAAAGGCCTGCAAGGCAACGGAAAATCGAGGACCTGAGAAACCAAGTGGCATCTGAGTCCAGGAATTTCCTTTACTTCGCTGGTGCCAAATACATTCAGACTTAAGTGAGCATCAATGAGCTTCCAGCTTTCCAGCACCATTGTGCCCGCAAATCACCAAGTGTCTTCCAGACTCCACCTCCAAGGTCAAGTCCGACTTTCAACCGTTTCAAGTCCATCTACCATTCAAATCGGATCGTTTCAAGACTTCTGAGGAAACGTCCACAAGCTGCCTCTGGGATCTCTGAAGGTTGCATCGTGTGACAAAATCCGAATTGACGCAACTCAGAATTAGCTGATAAAGCATCAAAGATTTGCCTTCGCAGTCCCCCACCCCACCCCCAAAAAGCGACCGAACCTATAAGATCTTGTGTGTTCATGAGTTTCTCGGCTGACTTTAATGTGACACTTTCTCACGAACAACCGACTCTTAACTACCTTGAACGTGAGCCCTGCAAGCAGGGGCGTGCCCGTTGGCGTCTCCTCAAAGCAAAATTGGCTTTGCTTCACAAAGAACAAGACAAACAAGTGATTCTGGAAGAGCAAAGGCAACAAGTTGCAGCAAGACTCTTTGAGCTTCTCTCTACAGGTGACATGGAAATTGCTTTTGACAGGCAACGGTCGTTTGTGAATTGACAGCTCAGCTGAGACCACAGCGATCGAGACGCCTTCGAAGGCAATGTGGGCGCCTTCTCTGAATCTTCCAGTCGCCTTTCAGCTTCATTCACCCGAGATGGAGTAGCTCAGCATGAAGAAAGGGTGATCTGCCTTTTTAGCTACAGTAGTTCATCAATATTCACCGCTGTTCGCAAATGCATGGTTCTTCTCCATGTTCATCCTCGTTGGTCCCGGTTCAGAGAATCAGATCAGCATTCGTCACACTCCAAATGTTGCCCCAAGGTCTCCGCATGGTGCAGAGCTGCTCCAGATGTCGAGGGCATGCAAAAAGACATGATCAGTTTCTACCCATGATCTCGCTTTAGCTCCCGGAATGCACACTCTGTTCTAGAAGTTGATGAATGTCCTATTGCACTGCTTGACGGTTCCAAGCTTCCTGAGTTCCACTATGTAGGTCCTTTCTCCTCCGGACATTTCAGGTTATTGCATTGCAGCCCCGGTACTCCTATGTCTGCTGTTTGTCCTTCGTCCAGAACCACAGTCCGGCTTTGTTAATGTGCTGGTTTTTGTGTCTATGCTGCTTCTTCCCTGTTCAAAATGCTCAACAGGATTCGGATTGCATGAGATGGTCTGCGCCTGCTTCTCCTCATCCAAGGTGGCAAAAGCATCTTGCAATTGCTCCACCTGGCTAACTATACATGTCGGCATCCAAAACATTTGAAGAGCTTGGAAATGATGGCTTCTCTGAGATGATTGCTCTGGACAGGCTCTGTTGAGACCGCTTGTAGGTTTCTACCCTTGGCTCAAAGGGTGTGGCCAGCGGTATAAACAGTACAAGGTCACAAGGTTTGAGCAACCATCTTGACTTTATTTTTCATGGCCCAAGCATTGATCTGACACAAGGCGCATGTTTGATGAGAGTGTGATGGGCCAAGTCTCGCCGAGAAGAAGCTGGAAGCTCCCCTCACAGCGTAAAAGACCTGCACTGCATGTTTTGGACACTTGAGAAGAAATACAAGTTGAGACTTGCACTGCATGTCTCGCCTGCCAAAAGTCACTGATGTTTGCACCATACTCATAGACCACGGCCTCGGGAGCTGGATGGAGACAACGAAAAACACTCTCGCCCTCGCCACCTCTCGCCTCTCGCCCCTCGCCTCTCGCCTCCCTTCCTCCCTCTCTCCCTCTCTTCCTCCCTCTCTCTCCCTCTCCCTCTCCCTCTCCCTCTCTCTCTCTCTCTCTCTCCCTCTCCCTCTCCCTCTCCCTCTCCCTCTCTCTCTCTCGCGGGCCTGCCTGGTTTGGCTGCCATGGGTCCAGAACTGCCCTCCCAGGTCCTGAGGGGAGATTCTGCGCAGCTTCTTCGAGTCTTGCAATTAACATTTTGACTCCTAACTCTTCTCAGGAAGTGGCCATATGCGCGCATTGCGATGAAGGCTGCTCCAAAGGATGCAACACTTTGCCACATGCCAGGCATCACCTGGTCGCTTGCTGCGACCCACTCGACACAACTGGCCATAACAGTCTAAGAATCAGGCTGGATTCGATATGAAGTGCTGGAACCTTTGCCAGTCAATGCATCCTGAAGACATCCTTTTGGCAACACGTGAGGCTTCAACCATTCGAAGCATTCCATTGCGGCCTTACGGTTGCACGCTGGACTTTCTGCGAACCAAGACCATGTCACAGGAGGATGAATCTGTATGTAAGGTAAAAACAATAAAAACTACTATACAAACATCCAAACTCGTCGTCGATTGGCCCAATTCGTTTGCTCAGCGTGCGCTCGATTGGCTGCATGTCGATCCAAAACATCCTGCGATACAAAAGTTTCAAAGTCGTCAAGAGCCTCTTGTAAAATTACACCACCGTAGACCCCAAACAGTTTGTGTTTTTCGAATCGGAACACTCTGCAACTAGAGCCTGCGACGTCCAGAGCTGGGAGACAAAGGATTGCAAGGCAGAGGCGGCCACAGCAGTCCAGAGCTGGGAGACAAATGAAAAGAACTGGGAGACAAGTGAAAATAAGTGGGAAACAAATTAGCCCAGCTGCAGACCCCAATAGCAAGATACAAACCGGGACAAAAAGAAAAATCTGGAAACAGCTGCTGTTTTCAACACATCGACCATCTCTTCCTTGGACACCATCATCACATAACCGGGACACCATCACAAAATGACCAGGGCACCATCAAAACATGACCGAGACACCGTCACAACATGATTGGGACACCATCACAACATAACCAGGACACCATCACAAGGTGACCGGGACACCAGCATGACATGACGGGACACCATCACAACATGACCGGGACACTATCACAACATGACCGGGACACCGTCACATGACCCGAACACCATCAAAACATAACCGGCACACCGCCAAAACATGACCAGGACACCATCACAAAATGACTGGGACACCATCAAAACATGACCGGGACACCGTCACAACATGAGCGAGACACCATCACAACATGACTGGGACACCGTCACAACA